TTTTTTTTTTTTTTTTTTTTTTTTTTTACATAAAATCCAACCAGCCTACAAATTTGATATGTATTTGAAATACAAATTGAAATCACCTAAAATAAAAGAATTGGTTTATTTCTTTCATAATACAATTCCATATCAAAATAGTAAATTAGTAATACAATCCAATCAGACTTTCGATTCACATTATCTGTTCGATTTTTTTTTTATAGAGGCAAAATGATCGTCGATTCAACATATTTTTCAACAATTATCCCGAAATCAAAAATAATAAAATAAAAAAAATAAAATAAAAAACGAAAGATCTCATATTATATTTTTTGAATCCCGCGTGACATACATAAATATCATCTCATATTTGACTGATATGTCATCACAATCGACTAAAAATAGCTCCGAACGCTAAAAAATGATAATAACAAAATTAAAAATAAAAATGTATTAAAACGAAAGAGTTCAAATCCTATTTTTCGAATCCCGTTTAAAAAAATGCATCAGATCGTATTCGACATAAATTCTCCTAAAAATCGACTACCAAGAGCTCAGTTCGATGAAATTTAAAACAAAAGTAAAAATAAAAACAAATTAAAGTCAGAGACAGAAATGAAATGAAATGGATGAAGTGGTGGGACAAGGGATAGAATGGCTGAGTAACCCTACAAATTCGGATTTTTCGTGCTTTTATATCATGCTTCTATGATTTGTGACCGTTAGATAATGACCAATCATGTCCGTCCGATCTGGATTTTATTGGATATGGACCATTTACCAAATACAAATGATAATGGGCAGACTTTAGTAACATGCATTGGGCCGGTTCTATTTTTTTTAATGTATCTTTAAAAAGCCCGTATCATATTAAGAAAAAAAAGCATGAAATGGCATGATGAGGTCTGGCCCAATAATTATGTAATTGTATTATTACATAAATCAATCGACATATTACTTTGGCCCATATAAGTATGTAATAGTATTTCAAAAATCAAAATAACTATATAATATTAAATATCATTAATATTGCAAGTAAAAAAACATAAAATATGTTATTTAGTTTATAAATTTTATATTGAAAAATACTTGAACACATATTTTTTTAATTTTAAAAATAAATTATTATGCCATATATATAGAGAAAATAAATTAATATAAAATGAATATAAATACTATATATATTGTCTACGTTTAACAAGAACAAAGTCTAAAGTCTTTTAATTCTATGCATAATTGTGTGTGTATATACACACTCAAGATAAATGTTTTATTTGTTTCAATTAAATCTTAAATCTTAAATTTACATTTTCAATAAACGTACATGCCTTTTTCCATTTAACATTCAGCGGCGGCAGTTCCCACTTACGGTTTCGTATGTCACGACAATAAACAAGAGTCATGAGCAGTCTTTATCTCGCGTCGGTCTTTTCATGAAGAAACATGTTTTTGGTCACGACCAATTATATGTTGCTTTTCACGTGTAACTGGTAGAAGTGGGTTAAAGATATTAGTTTGTGATAATGACAGAGTTACCCAATAATCAAACTCATAATGTTGTGTACAAGGAG